TTAGATTGGATTAAAACATGTATCAATATGGTGATTCCCTTTCGTCTTTTAATGATAATGTTATTAAGCTTATCAGACAATATGAAAGGAACTTACTTAAAATAAACACTTGTCTATATTATTTAATGAAACATGCATCAACGAAAAATTGCTGCCTAAATATACACAATATATATATCAAGAAATATATAGAACGAAATGGACTATTACTATTTTTAAACAACAAATTTCCCATGACTTCTATCGGACGATCATATCAGCTTGAGGTATATTTTAATGTAAAAAAAAAATGTGACTGCAGATGGTATGATACATACAAATATTTAAGTAAATATTCTGTTTAAAATAATCAGTATTAACTATATTTTTCAGTCAGAATGTCTGAGAAATATCGTAGAAGAAATGAGTCTTCCGACAGGAATCGAATCTGCATTCCATATGGAACCATTGTTTGGCCTGACATGCTATACCATTTAGCTACAGTGACAGCATCTGATTAGCAGTGTCAAATTACTATTTCAAATGATGATCCCGTGAACGACATAGGTTCGATTCCTGTCGGAGTCCACGTATTCTCTACGATATTTCTCATATCTTCAGGCCAGTAAATGTTGTTAATACTGTTTATTATAAACAGAGCACTTACATATTTGTATGTATAAAAAATATCCGTATAAACAAATATATATAAATAAAGAATGATATATATATATATATATATATATATATATATATATATATATATATATATATATATATATATATATATATAGTATCTAGGTCTGCTCTACGGTTGTATTGAGCTCTTTTTGTTAGTTAGTTGTTACTCGTATCGGGGTTTTTTCTTTGGGCTTCAAACACACCATCTGTGCGATTTTTTGTCGGCAGAAGTCCATGTTTGTAGCTCTTTTTCTTTTTAAAACCTTTTTTCCCTCGAGATTGATTTGATTAGCAAATCAAAAATTCGAAAGTTTTTCAAAATAAGTCTAGTTATCTATATTTATATTTATATATATATATATATATATATATATATATATAGGCTCCTGAAACATTAATTTCAGTTGAGTTCTGAAAAGGAAGAGTTATGGGTTTTAAACAGTGACTATTATGGCTGATATAGCGAGACTCTTCGGCAAAAAGCGAATTGAGTCACTGTCGGTCACCTTCACCCTGCCGTGCGCCGGCGGCTTAAAGTTAGAATCTCGGACTGACATGAATACTGAAGAAATGCGAAATAGTCTGTCTGTGGATGACTTTATATATGTATATTATAAAAAAACTAGTTTAAAATATGGTTTTCGCTACACCGTAATGACCATGTTTCAAAAAATGGTGTGTAGCGAAAAAAACATATTTTAAACTAGTTAATTTATAATAGTAATGTCTCTCTAAATTTCCATTAAAACTATTTTCTAAATAAGAACATCGGATTATATATCTTTGCTCTTTTTTTTGATATATATATATATATATATATATATATATATATATATATATATATATATATATATATATATATATATAAGGGACATTGAAGCTTCACTTCTAAAAGGAACAATACTTTTAATTGGAAAAAGAATTTATACCAATTAAATAAAAACTATTCATTTAAACCTTCATAAGAAAATAGAAAGAACATTTTAAAATAACTTTCGCGAAAATTGCGCAGTAATCTAGACAAGTAAGAAGATACAAAAAGCAGTAAAAAAGGCCGTCAAGTGAGTAAGCTTCCCGCATTATTATTCAGGCAATCGTATGTAAACAACGCCAAAAATGGCGGCCGGACAACGCGAAAGAAGTCGAACTTACATTGTCGATAAATCCTAAACTGTAATCGAGCGTAAACTTTTATTGTCATTTTCGAAATAATCAGGCAATTTCACACCATAATGGAACATTTTTATTACCTTGGGCTGTTGGTGATTTTACTGCAAATTAACCTTAAGAATAGTGTTAACACACAGAAGGGGATACAGACAAGCGATCGCAACGTTCTACCTTCAAGACAAGAATGAACAGAACTAAATCAACAAGCTGACAACTACCAGACATTGATAAAAATGCCTACTAGATGCACACAAACATAACACAAACGAATATGCACTATAATCCTGCATAGAGAAACTAGAATTTTGATACACCTACACACATGCATTATACACACGAACGATGCTTGAAAAGACTGATTTATGTGAAGTTTGTTTAACCAATCAAAAAAAAAAAAACACAAAATTTAAAAATACAAGAATGTTATTTTTCTCCTCGATATTTCATTCTCCGATGAAGCTTTTAAAAAAAGCGAAACATATTAAAAAACATAACTAAATCTGATGAGATCGAGAAGTGCCCAATAGTACTGGCGAGAAAGAAATCCCAGAATGCATTGGTGTATTTTCCCTATAAATTGAATCGGAGGAAGATTTTTTTCTCAGTCATTTCCATGCCTACGGAAGCTAACCAAATGTCAAATTACTCTCAGAAAATTACTTTATTAAAATATCGTTTTTGATAAATGTTGTGGCCTTGTTAGGGCCAAAAATAAAGACACAAAGAGAGGAATTGAGTTGAACAAATATATTAACAGAAATAGTAATACAAACATATACAAACGAGAGTGTTACAGCAAGGATGTTCGGTCCGACTGTGAGAGCCGACTGCTGGAAGCTTCCCTCTCTAAAAGGCAGTACCTGCTCCTATTTATAGCTGGGAGAGTCCATACGTGCGTGGGTAAGTTTCCATAACCAACTTTAACTTAGATAAACCGATTTTATTTGCTTATTTAAAAAATATTTATTTTAAAATATTGGACGGGTGGTTAGGCCTCTAAATCCCCCATCCAGAAAGTGCGGTTCTGGTATTATTGTAGCGGGGTTTTATGTAGACCCCCCACTTATTTAATAATAATAAAACGATATTGGTGAATGAGGCCTTGCCCCCTAAGCCCCCTTCTGCAAGTACAGTCCTGGTATTATTGTAGTGGGATTTTATCTGAACCCCACGATTTTCAGTTATTTAAAAATATAGAGGAAAAAAACCCCCCCATTCCTACTACAGAAGGGTCCTAAAATCTTTTTTCAATCGATCTTTATTTCATAGTAACTGAAGTTTCTTACCTTCTCAAAATTACCGAATTTTCCGTTACTGTATCTTCCGTTACAGAATTTTTCTCTGTCCCTCTTTCCTTCAATCTGTCTTGTGAGTATCAGGTTTACCAAGTCCTCCTTTCTCATTACGTGACCCAAAAATTTCAATTGCTTCTTCCTGATATTTTTTTTTTAAGCATTACGCCCCGAGCAAGGCGTGAAGCCACTAGGATGCAGGGGGTTGCAGAAGATTTGGAGCGAGAGCAGATAGGAGTGATAGAAGAAAGGATGAGGAGATGGATAGTGGGTAGATCAAGGTAACTGGAGATGTCGATTGACATTACATTTGAATAGTTGGAGATTATAGCTCCCAGGGAAACAGTAATAGGGAAGGGAGTTCCACAGTCGAGAGGTGCAAGGTATGAAGCTATTGGAGTAGAAGAGATGGCTACCTTTAAAAGTTTCTACAGTGAAATGGTGAGAGCGGGATGCCAGCCTCGTAGGGCGCTTGAATTCATGGAGTCTGGGAACCAGTGAAAGCAGCTCATCGGAGCAATTACCATGAAAGTATTTGTAGAAAAGACAGAGAGAGGCGACGGCGCGTCTGTGAGAGAGTGACTGTAGACGAGATGCCAGATCAGGGCCAATTATATTGCATATCCGTCTCTGGATATTGTTAAGTATAAGTTTCCTTTTGGTTTCCGTTTTTTTCCAAAGCCTCATGTTCGGTTCATGCTATTTTCAGCATCTTCAAGGCTCTTCTTCATCTTTGAGGAGATTTTCCAGTATTTGATGACATACAGGAGGACAGATATCACGTAACAGATAACAATCTCTCAAAATTCGGTCCTTTTTCCATTGGCCTAAGCGTTACAGCCATCAAAATGGACTCTTCTATCTGACTAGAAACCTATTTACGTTATTACACTTAGGGAGGCGTTTATTTGTTTTTTTTTTTGCTTTTTTTTCTAGGAAATGTTCTGGTGCCCAGGGCTCCTGGGTATGACGATAAACTACATCCGGCAGCAAGGCCTCTTTTCGGGAGAGTTTGAGGAGCGTAGAATCACCTTTTAATTGTTGTTGTTCTCAGGTCCACCCTGACCCGGCGTCGTAGTACTTGTTAAAGGTCCCAGCTATGGCAAAATAGTTAACTTTCTAAACTGGGTTTCAAAACCCTATGAAAGTATAAAAATAGATTGTGTCCAGCATGAAACAGCCTGTCGCCTCTGAATGTTGCCTTCAATGTTCACTTTTATATTTATATTTACATATGCTCTATCTCTGATATTGAGCACTTTATCCCATAAATATAGCACACCTTAAAACTATATTTCTTCATTCATATATATATATATATATATATATATATATATATATATATATATATATATATATATATATATATCACAGTCTGTTCCTTTTTTATCTCAGTACGATCATATACATTTCTAAAATTATCTATCTCACTCAGTTCATATCTATCTATCTATCTATCTATCTATCTATTTCGGCATGTTCATATCTATCTATATGTTTTGCATATCGCTCTATATACCTAAGTATCTATCTATCTATCTATCTATCTATCTATCTTCCAAATTTTCGTTTCCTTCTTGGTACAATTTGTGTTGATAATTCTGGCTCCTAAAGAACCATTTATTATCTCTGTCGTCTCTCTCTCTCTCTCTTTCTCTTACTCTTTCTCTTTCTGTCACCCCTATCTCTCTTAGTTTTCTACCTCCCATTAATAAAGCATTAAATTCATTCTAATATCACTATAAAATTCTTTCTCTCTCTCTCTTTCTCTCTCTTCTCTCTCTCTCTCTCTCTCTCTCTCTCTTTTGTCACTCAATTACTATTTTATAGCGATTAATTTTTTTTTTAAATCTCTCTTTCTCGCTTTTTCTCCTTCTCATGTCATCTCTCTTATTTCTCGCGCGGTTTGATTTGCCTTCTCCTTCATTATTTTTAAAACGCGCTTCTTTCCTTTTTTCTTTCTTTCCTTTCTTTCCTTTCTTTCTTTCTTTCTTTCTCCTTACTTCAAGTTTTTCTTTTAATCTATATTTCTTTCACCCCATTCTTCCATTTTATTTTCCTTCTTTTTTATTTGCTTCTATACAATTATTTTCTTTCTTTTTTGATTTTCTTTCTTTCTTTCTTTCTTTCTTTCTTTCTTTCTTTGTTCGTTCGTTCGTTTATTTCTTTCTTTCTTTTTTTCTTTCTTTCTCTTATTGCTTTGATGCTACCTGCCTGTCTCTTTCCTCCTTCCGTTACATTTTCTTCCTCTTGATTTGCCTTTCTTTCTTCCTTTCTTTCTTTCTTTCTTTCTTTATTTATTTATTTATTTATTTCTTTTCTTTTCTTGCTTCGCTTCTATCTGCTTGTCTCTTTCTTCCTTCCGTTTTTCTTTTTCCTCTCGATTTATATTTCTTTCTTTTTTTTATCCTTTCGTTATCTTTGTTTCTTTGTTTCGTTGTTTCTTTTTCTTTTTTTCTTTCTTTCTATCTTCTGACTTCCTTGATTCCTTCCTTTCACGTTCTTTTTGTTTGTTTGTTTGTTTCTTTCTTTCTTTCTTTCTTTGTTTCTTTCTTTCTTTCTTTCTCCCCTCTTTCTTTCTTTTCTTTCTTTTTTTTATATTTCTTTCATTCTTTCATTATTTATTGCTCCTTTTTTCCTTTCACTTTCCTCTGTTTCATATTTCTTCTCTCTTCCTCTCTCCTTCATTCATTCTTACCTTCTTTCTCTTTTTACATAACCCCTCCCTATCTCTTTCTAACCCCCTCTTTAGTACACTTCTTCTATCACGTCCACTTGGACCGTGGTCTCTCTTTGTCCCTCTCCGTTAAAATCCAGGATAACCATTAGTCCGCTCTACCCGCTTTGTTAAATTTCACATTTTCCTCTTGAGATTTCAATTACTCTCTCTATATATCTCTGTCCCACTCTCCCTCTCGCTCTTTCTATCTCCCCCTCTCTCTCTCACACACACAAACACAAACTCTTTCTCTCTCTCTTCCTTTCTCTTATTCTCTTTAACCTCTCCCTTTCTCCATGCTTTCGTCCAGGGGCTTTACGAAGTTCGCACAGGCCACGGCTAAATATATATTGCAATTTGGCAAACGGGAGACTGACCTTTTCGGGTCACCTTGATTTGCGTCACCACTGTGTGCACCAGCCCTTCCCACGTGCCGTCGACGCCGAACACCGTCTCCGACCCAAACAGGACAGCGCCAGTCCCCCATCTCCAAATCGATACGTTAGGGAAAAGCGCGGTATTGATTGTTAATTTCTGGCCCAAGCGCCCAGAGTCGGGTTTCTCCACTATAGCACGGGGTAAAGGACAAAATGGAAGGAAAGGAAACGGAAAAGTGCTGTAGGTTGACGAGGGTGGGATAAAAAAAAGAAAAAATAAGCACACCCTAACTCTAAATTCTGTGAGTCTTCTTACTTTCCTTCTCCAAAGTGGATTTGTCAACCGACACAAACAAAAAGATTTTTTATATAGGTTTCCTATACCCACCATAACACACACAACACACATATATGTGTATGTATATATATTTATATATATATATATATATATATATATATATATATATATATATAATAAATTAATTGATTTAAAATGTGTTTTTTTTCGCTACACAGTTCTAACCATGTTTCAAAAATGGAAGCTAAAAGCTCCTAATTCAATTTTGTAATTAAATTAAAGACATTAGTTCATCCATACGCGAATTTTGGAGTAACTTTTAATTTAATTACAAAATTAAATTCGAGCTTTTAGCTTCATTTTTGAAACATGGTTGAACTGTGTAGCGAAAAAAACATATTTAAAATCAATTAATTTATAATATTAATGCTCTGTAAATTTACATTGAGCACTATTTTGTAAAAATAAAATATCTATAAGAACACCGGATTATGTATCTTACTGTTCTTTCTTTTTTATTTTATATATATATATATATATATATATATATATATATATATATATATATATATATATATATATATATATATATATATATATATATACAGGGTGCGATGGATAAATTGTCGTCTAAATCCCGCAAAAAATGAAAATGACTATGGCATTTCATTTTAACGGATATATTTTACCAAAATTACACAAAAATATCTTGAAATACTAAAGAGTAAATTTATTCAATAAAATCGCCAATGGCTTCAATTACGGCTTCCAGACGACTTCGGAATCTCCTGCAATTCTTCTGGTCGGTCTACTTTTATAAGTTGACCAATACTGCCATAATTCGTGCCTACAGTTGCCTTGGTGTTAGAAGGGGTTTTGTTGGTCAACTGCGCCCCACGCATAATAATCAAGGGCGTGGCGTTCTAGGGAGTTAGGTGGCCAGATGTAAGGGGTGATGCGGTCGCAGAAATTGTCTGACACCCATGACTGGGTTCTCCTGCTTGCCTGTCATGATGCAGAGTTCTGTTGCAAAACATAGGGTCTTCCAGCAGCCACCCACTTCACTTAGGGCAGCACTACCCATTCAAGACACTTGACGTAAGGTGCCCGCGTTAAGTCCAAGGTTCTAACCAACAAATTCGGCAGTTCGTTTCTTATCAGAACGATCACAATGAGTGTTCCGAGCTGCCGCACATTCGTAATCACCATTAGACTCATCCAACTCTTTCCGAATCCTCTGCACTGTACTCAGATTGACACCCAAACACTGAAATCTTCATATTGGAGCTTCCGGCTCGAATGCCAAGCAGCATGGCATGCCGTTTCCAAATTTCTGGCGGAGTGGTTTGCGTCATGGAGATATTTTATTCTCATAGACGGTGCCCAACTGACCCTACTATACTGTGTAGTCGATGAAACTAAAGATATTCAAATGGCGACAATTTACCGATCGCACCATATCTATCTATCTATCTATCTATCTATCTATCTATCTATCTATCTATCTATCTATTAGGTTGGTGCAAAAAATAATTTCGTTTTCTATCATATGTTAATATGTGAGAAAACGAAAATTTTTACACCGAGACTATATATATATATATATATATATATATATATATATATATAGAGAGAGAGAGAGAGAGAGAGAGAAAAAATATAAAGTTTGTTCAGACAATGCGTTTCGTCTCTTTATGTTAGCCGTTTTCAATTTATTTTGATTTTAAGATATACGCGTATCTTTTTCGCCGTCGTTGGCTGAACTCAATGCCGAATACGGAATAATCATCGACATTTCCTCAAATGAGCCCTAATTTGGAGCTGAAGAGAAGTCTGTGGCCATCGTATGGTAGGGTAGGAAGGCCCAGGGAATGGAGAGCTCGGGCTTTTCTAGGGTTCTCTTCGTCTTGTCTATTTGTCTTTTGGCGTTTTTGAAGGACGTTGTTTTTTGGGGTTTTTTTTTTCATGGACTTCTCTTCTCCATATGATTCTTTCTGCAGCTTCCAAGCTCTTCGAACTGACCAGGACTCAAACAAGAAACACGCGAGTCCCGAGTCTCCGATGCGTGGTAGGACCGGATCACGAACAATAAAGTTCTCCTCCGCGGAAAGATGGAGAGACTAGAGGCTATCATGACTCGCCACCGATTTCGATGGGGCGGACACTTTCCCCGAATGCCAGACATCCGCCTACCCAAAGAAGTCTTGGAGCTCGCATCCGGCAAGAGAAGACGTGAATAGCCTCACGCCGTCGATTTAAGGATGACACATTTTTAACTCAAGTTCAAAAAGAAGCTGTAGTCAGTTTGTACTGGATGTAATAAATTTCTCCGATTCGTTTCCTTCCACCAACAGAGTAGCGTAAGTCAAACAATACTTGCCTCCTGTTCGCTACCGGAGTTACACTGCTCTGTTGCCTCGTTAAGCAGTCTTTAGAGATTGAGTGACAGGTCAAATCTGCATAGGTAACAAGAGAGTCTCACGAAAGGATCAGATTCGGAGATCTCTCTTTTCTTTAATATACGACTCGTAAAGTCGCCATTTTCTTTTTGGGTTCTTTTACACACAAGACACGCCTGGTGACGGTTTTTTTTTGTTTGTTTAGAAGGTAAGCCATTTATCTCAAATGTCACAGCTTTTGTCAAATAATTAAACTACCATCTGACCCTAGGTGGGTCCATCGCTAAAGATTGTAGGAAAAGCGATCGGCTCTCTGTACCGCCCCAGTAAATACAAGTGACAGACTTGGTCTAAAATGGAGTACTGGTGTCATATTTGAGGCAGGAGCTTTCCAGTCCTCATTTTTCCAGTCTCGGACGAATCTAAAAGCGTCTCAGAGTCCTTGTGGGTGACAAACTATTTCCTACCTCACTCTCACTCTCTTGCATGGAAAGTGCCCGGATGAAGTAACCTTCGCACGTACGACCCGCCATGTTACACACATTGTAACAAACCAACCACATTCTATACATATTCCTTTGTTGAGAAGTAAGTTCCAATCGAACAGCTTCGTCACGCGAACCATTGATCTAGGGAATCGATTTCCCAGAGGACGTTTTCCCGATCGCTACAAACTTAACCTGTACAAGTCTAGGATTAATCCTGTTCAACACTAAGATTAATCCTGTTTAAATCTAGGATTAATCGTTACATCTACTATCCGTATAAACTACCTCTTAATGTAATTGTAGCCAGATCCTTCTGGCTTGATAATAAAGTTCCCTAATCTGTTTCCGCCAACTTTCAAAATAGCTTTAGTCAAACAATCCAACAACACGTGTCTCCCGCTCAAAACCGCAGTCATATTTTCTCTGTTGCTTATATATTTAAAAAAAAAAGATTTCGAAGTCGGATACTTTCGTGAGAATCTATCTTTTTTTTTTTTTTAAATATATGACTCGTAAAACCGCCATTTTTCTTTAGGGAATGTTTTAACCTTCGCAAGTAGGACCCACCATGCCACTTACACTGTAGCAAACCCTATCCTCATTCCTTCCATATTTCTTTGTTGAGAAGTAAGTTCCAATCGAACAGCGGACCACTGCTCTGTGGAACCGTTTCTTAGGAGGCTGTTTCTTCGATTACTATAATCTTAACCCGTTCAACTCTAGATTTAATCCTTATCTCCTGTCTGCCTCTTGATATAACTGTAATCAGTTTCTTCTGGATGCAATAAATTCCTCTGATTCGTATCCCTCAACCAACAGAGTAGCGTAGGTCAAACAATCCAACAACACGGGTCTCCTGTCCGCTACAGCTGATGTACAACACTTTGGCGCCTTTTTTAGCCCTTTTTGTAGATTGAGTGACAGTTCAAATTTGCATATGCTAAAAGAAACTCTCGCGAGAGTTCATCCAGTCCCGAAATTCATTTTTCTTAAATATACGACTCGTAATGCCGCCATTTTCAGTTTTTCGTTTTTGACCCGAAGGTAAGCCATTTTTTTTCCTAGTGTTAGAAAATCTATATCAAGCTTTTTAATTCTCATGTAAACTGGACCTATCTACGATTTTTAGTTTAGTATAAAACGGACTCATGTCTACGTTTTTAACCATTTTATACCCAAGACACATGTCTACCATCTTGGCACTACACATTTACTCTACATACCCACTAAGACGAGTTGTGTGGCACAAGGTTTTTTTTTTTTTTAAGGTGGGTACCTGAGCGCGTAAAACCCTACAAGATACAAAAATAGGCCGCAGCCCCAGCAACCGACGGTTCCGCTAGCCTCGGTGCGAGCACCGATTTCTCTCTCTGGTGTAAATGAAAGGGCGCGTCCTCGGGCAGCTGTTCCCTAGAGCAGGACATCTCTCAGTATAATTTTCCTCAGTTGCGACTCTGCTCTTGACGGAGTCGTCCCTGAGTGCACTTTGCCCAAAGACAGAGACACAAATGAGAGATAATAAATAGATGTGTTACAATCTATCCGAAA